AGAGAGGACCAGTCAGGAATAAAACACAGCTAAAGGGAACAAAGAACTCAAACACAATCCGTTAGGTCCAATTGTCATCCCAATAAGACATCATCCCAAAACAAAAGAAAACAAACCAAAACCAAACCAGTTCACAATCCGACCCAAAACAAAAGGAATCAACGAAAACCGTGGTGGGGTTGCCTCCCCACAAGTGCTTCTTTACCTTCTTTTAGCTGGACGCCCATGGTGGATACTCAGGGAGGTGCAGGAACAGGTGCCTCCAAGAGCGGATCCACGTCGCTCTTGAGGTACAACTTCAGGTTGTGGCCATGCACCCGACGGGTGTGACCACCAGCATTGGTCAGCTCGACCTGGCCATCCGGCAAGATGCAGGCGAGTGAGTACTCGGATGGCCAGGGGGTCGTGGTGCAGGAGGTGGAACCAGCTCGTAGTGGTCTCCACCTTTCTTCCGTGCAGGCTTAGCAACCTGCTGCTTCGGCCGCCACTCCTCCTTGATCTTTTTGTTCGAAGGCGAGACTGGATGGAGTGGCGGCGAAGGAATGATAGGAGGGTCCTGCAAAATGAGAGGTGCAGAAGGATACACGACAGGCTCGTGTACCTGATCAGTTTACCATCATGCACATCAATAAGTGCCTTGGCGGTGGCAAGAAATGGTCTACCCAGAATCAAAGGTACATCCACATCCTCATGTATATCAAGAATAACAAAATCAACAGGGTATGTGAATGCACCTACATTAACAAGCAGATCCTCTATGATTCCCCTAGGATGCACAATGGAACGATCAGCTAGCTGAATGCTCATCCTAGTAGGGCTAAGTTCACCTAGGTCTAGCTTTTTATACAACTTATATGGCATGACATTTATGCTAGCGCCTAGGTCCGCCAAGGACTTGCCTACATGCATGCTGCCACTAGTAAGAGGGATAGTAAAACTCTCTGGGTCCTTGCTCTTTTCGGGCAGCTTGTTCTGCAGGATAGCAGAACACTCCTCGCTCAGCAAAACTGTCGAGAGATCCCCAAGTTTCTTCTTGTTGGTGAGGAGATCTTTCATGAACTTCGCGTACTTGGGCATCTTCGACAATGCCTCCACAAACGGTATGCTGATGTTGAGCTGCTTCAACATTGCTATAAACTTGGAAAACTCAGTGGGGAAGGGAAGCTGGGGTACATGCTCCTTAACCACTGGTTGTGGCTTGGGAGCAAGGGCTCCCTTCTCCACCCGCACTTCTGCATCGTCGGCTGGAAGTGCTGAAGCAGGTAGTGGTTCCTCCTGCCTCGCTGGGACAGGATCAGCGGATATGGTCTAACCGCTCCTGGTAAAAATGGCATCCAGCTGCTGGGGCGGCTATCGTGGATTGGGGATGGTAGTGGCAGGTAGAGTTCCGGGTGCCCTGGTGTTGTTCTGGCGGGCTATTCCTACAATCTGATGTTGGAGGTCCTGCAGTATAGCACATTGGTTCCTCTGACCTGCCTCCAGCGAGGTGATGCTCTGGTCTATCCTGGCAAAATTTTCCTGGCTGGTAGTCATGAATGCCGCTAAAATGTTTTTCAGCTCCGTCATCTGGTTATCTGGAGCTGGAGCTACTGGTGGCTCATACTAACACAGGGGGCTGCTGGAATGGCTGCCCCTGCCTAGGCTGGTAGGGCTGTTGCGGTGGAACTGGCCCCTGTCTGGCCTAGAAAGGTTGCCTCTGCTGAAAACCACCTGCTGGCTCTGGGAAACCAGGTGGTTTAGTGGAGTTACTACTCCAAGCGAAGTTGGGATGTTGGCGCCACCCCTCATTGTATGTGTTACTGTATGGATCGAGGTGCCGCGCATTGGCGATGAAGGCCAACTGCTCCTGGGGTGTAGAGGACTCCCGCATAGTCTGGCAGTCCTCCACCAGATGATTCAAGCTCTCACACCACTGACATTGAGCTACTGGAGGTGTAGCCAAACCTCGGCCCGGAATAAGACTGTTGGGCTGCTTCAATGTTTGCACTAACTCCGCCACCTGCTGCTCGAGCCCGGATGTGGTCTCCATGGCGTGCACACCACGGTCCCGGGAATGTCTGCCTGTGCTACTCTGCCCCCAAGAATGATCTCTGGCAGCCAAGGTACTGATCATCTGGTTCAGTTCGGGTGGAGTCTTAGTAAGAATATCCCCTCCTAGGCATAGAGACTCAATCACCCTCTGGCTGTCCGGAGAGAGGGCACTGTAGATGTTCCCCACTGTGAATGCATCACTGAAACCATGATGGGGACACTGCCAGAAATATCCCATGTACCGCTCCCATGCATCACGAAGTGACTCGTCTGGATCTTGGCGGAAGTGAGTGATCTCCCGCTGGATCTCTATGGTCTTCGATGCTGGGTAGTACCTGTGCACGAACTTGTCAGCCAGGTCATCCCAAAAAGTAATGGACAATGGGGGGCTGGGTCTCCAACCACCTCTTAGCATTCCCCGCCAGAGAATGGAGGAAGAAGTGAAGGCGGATTGCATCATCAGGGACACCATTCAGCTTGAACCCGTTCGTCAGCTGCAGAAAATGGGAAAGATGCACCCTTGCCTCCTCATCCTTCAAGCCATGGAACTGGATAGAGGATGTAATGAGTTGAATCCAGCATGGCTTGATCTCAAAGTTGTTTGCTGGAATGGGCGGGTAGAGGATGACCGGGCGGATGTCAGCAATCCGTGGAGTGTAGTAGTACTCCAAGGTGGGACCCGGCGGCGGTGTGTGATAATGAACCCCATCTGCATGGGATATTGGGTTTTTCCCCAAGATCTGATTCACAGGGGGAGCCTGGTGAGGATTCCCCTGGTGTGGATTGTGATCTCCTTCCATCTCGTACTCGTCCTCGGACTCGCTGCTCAAATGGCCGTCTATGCGCTCCTCCATAGCCAGTCTAGCTCGCTGTTGTCTCCTGAGTTGGCGACAGGTGCGTTCAATCTCCGGATTCAACGGCAGTAAACCTCCCGACTGGCTACGGGTCATGCACTACTTGCACACAATCAAGCAAGCAAACCCGTGAAGGCACAAGTGGGAAAGAACAAACAGCCAATGCGAAAACGAAAATGCTAAAGTAACAGAAATCACTTTTCTTCAACAACCTAGCCGTCCCCGGCAACGGCGCCAAAAACTTGACTCACTCCTACTGTCACTCTAGAAATTGGCCAAATGTAATCACTTCCTAAAGCGTAGTATAGCGGGTTTGGGTTTTAATGTCAACCCGGGTCCTAGATTTGATGACTACTCGGTGAATTCTTGTTATCTAGCAGTGAAACTTTAGTGCAAGTCCAAATTAGCAAACAAACAAAGCAAGTTAAACGGTTGTTTTCAAGTCGAGAGAGGTCACCCGGATATGGTTCCCCCTAGACTGCTGTTAAGCCGGATTGCAATTTACCAAGTTCAGTTTCCATGAAAGTTATACTGCGGAAGATTCTTAAACAGTCTGAAGTCTCGACTAAAGGTCTCCAGACCCTCTCAATCTGAGTCTCCAGCGGGCAACTAACCTCCACCGGAGTAAACAGATTGAGGCCCTAACGAACCAAACCTCCACTACCGAATTGAATTCGGTACAGAATAGCGAATTGTCTCCTCGACTAAAGTCACCAATTCGCCACCTTCAATTAAGGGTGCTCTATCAACCTAGGCAGATATTCTCATTCTAGGTTTAAGCAGAAACAATAGGAATTTGATCAGGATTCAAGTCATTCAATCATTCAAGCCTCAATCGAATATAATCAACTCATGAAATCTGTACTTGGGTTCATACAATCATACCTAACATACAAATATAGGGTTCTCCATACCCAGATGAATGGGAAAACTACTCCATGGAGAGAGAAGCAAAAGCAGATTCAGACGCGGAAATCATACTGTGAAGGATGAGTTTCTGCTCCTAGTTGTCAATCGGTACTTCTCCAAACTCAAGTCGGGCTCCAATGGTGATGAAGATCAAGCTATGGCACTTGGGGACTCTGGTTCGTGGCTTTCTCTCTCTAGGAATCGCTCCGTCTCTCTAAAACTCCGAACCCTTGATTTTTGGCCTTCTTTTCCTTTAAAAGGCTGACTGTCGCGATACCCGGTCGAAATATCCGATCGGTTATTTAGGGTCGCGACCGGGTATAATTGAAACGCATCGTTTTTGCCTCAGGGGAAATCCCCGGTCTGGCCCAAGAATCCCCGACCGGGGGTTTTTGCCTCCTGCCCGGGCCCCCTTCTGTTTCTCACGGACGCCCAAAGCGAAAAATCCCCGGTCATGGCCAGATAATACCCGGTCGGGTATTTCTGCTCATGGCCGGGTATTTTTGCTCTCCAGCACACTTCAAGCCTCACTTGCTCCTTTTGACCCGAATCTCGTTCCTTCGCCTCGATTCCAACGCCGGGTCCTGAAATATGACATAAACGTACAACCTCGCGTGAAATCGGCTTAAAACACGAGAATCAACATCTCAAACAGCTCAAGAATAGGGGTAAAAACATGTGCAATTAGAGTCTATCAACTTTTAGTGAAGGTCCAAGCAAGCAAACAAGAAAAGCAAGTAAAAAGGTTGTTTTGAAGTCGAGAGAGGTCACCCGTATATGGTTCCCCCTAGACTGCAGTTAATCCGGATTGTAATTTACCAAGTTTAGGTTCCATGATAGTTATACTGCGGGAGGTTCTTAAATAGTCTTAAGTCTCGACTAAAGGTCTCCAGACCCTCTCAATCTGAGTCTCCAGCGGGCGACTAACCTCCACCGGAGTAAACAGATTGAGGCCCTAATGGACCAAACCTCCACTACCGAAGTGAATTCAGTACAGAATAGTAAATTGACTTCTCGACTAAAGTCGTCAATTCACTACCTTCAATCAAGGGTGCTCTATCAACCTAGGAAGATATTCTCTTTCTAGGTTAAAGCAAAAACAACAGGAATTTGATCAGGATTTATGCCATTCAATAAATCAAACATCAATTGAACATAATCATACCAATGAATCTGTACTTAGGTTCATACAATCATACCTAACATACAAATCTAGGGTTCTTATTACCTAGATGAATAAGAAAGTTACTCCATAGAGAGAGATGGGAAATCTAGCTCAGATGCGGAAACCATACTGTGAAGGATGATAAACTACTTCTGGAACTCAATCAGATCTTCTCCAAGCTCAAGCCGGGCTCCAATGGTGATGGAGATTGATCTATGACACTTGCAGAGTTAGGTTCGTCACTTTCTCTCTCTTGGTATCACTCTATCTCTCTAAAACTCCGAACCCCTCTCTTTTGGATGGAAATTGGGTTAAAATCCCAGAAACTCCCGTGTCACACGGCCAGGCCACACGGCCGTGTGACTTTTCCAGCTGCCCGTCTGGAAGTGCAAAACGCGGCGTTTCGATAAGTGAGCTTCGGGTATGCTACACGGCCAGACCCACACGGCCGTGTGGATTTTCAGGTTGCCCGTGTGAGTTCCCTGGAATTTCCACACGGCCACAAGGGGTCCCCTACACGGCCCGTGTGATTTTGCCCATACAATTTGATGTCACACGGCCAGGTCACACGGCCGTGTAGGTTTTTAGGCGTGCCCGTGTGGCTCCATCAGCTTCTTGCCAAATGTCCAATCTTCGTCCAATCGACACCAAACTCGTTCCTAAACCTTCATTCACGTACTAGGTCCCGAAATATCCCAAACAATAACAACCTAGCGTGAAATCGGCCTAAAACGCGAGAATCAACATCTCAAACGACTCAAGAATAGGGGTAAAAGCATGTGCAATCAATGGTCTATCAACTACTTCACTCACCAGTTCCAGCAGCTGGATCTCCAGAATCAGCAGCTCCTCGAGCATCATCTCCAGTTCCAGCATCAGTTCTCGGCTCACGAGGCCAAATATAACACCCAGATGGCTGCATATGATGAGCGCCTCGACCGCATGGAGGCCCAGTAGGGGGTGACCCTTGCTCACATCGAGAGGGAGCGTGGCCGGGCTCGTCGTATGTAGGAGGTCCAACAACACCTTCTCCAGCTGATACTGGGAGAGCAGCCAGTCTGGCGGACTCCCTGGGAGGACTCCCCACTTCCACCCCCGCCAGCTAGTGATGATGCCTTCATGGACGACATCGACCTTGACAACCTCGGCGACGAGTAGTCTGTACTCGTCGCCCCTTCGAGTGTGTTTTTTGTTTTGGGGTTTTCTTGTTTGCTCCATGTGGATTGTCCGTTTTGTGGCCATCTGGGCTAACTCTGATCCCTTACGCACAGTGTGCTAGTGGGTTCTTTATGTTCCCTTCCTGCGAGATTGTTCCATCGTTCCATCTGTCCCCTGCTGCCTGGTCCATTTCCAGTCCCCCGACAGTCTTTTCTTTCGGTAACATCGTTCCCCTTATCCTTCATTTTGCTCCATTGAGGGTAATGTCGAACTTAAGTGTGGGGGGGGGGGGGGTACTTTGTGTTGGTTGGAACCTATATATGTGTGCTTGGAGCCTAGTTCGTTGTCCAAATCTCGAGATTTGAGGGCTCCAAGTACTGATTTTTGCATGATCATATTGGCACTGTGAGTTTGATTGGTGAATCGAATGGCTTTCGAATTGATGCATGACAACTGGATTGTGACTGAGACAACCTATAATGATGAATGAGACGTGCACTAGAGTTGTGTAGGGGTTCAAATTTTCAACTGTTTGTTTACCAACTATGACTTGGATTGATCACTTGCTCTTGACAGTCGTTTATGCATCTAGTTCAGGGAATTAGAATGAGAGATAGAACATATAGGTAGCCATGTGAGATTTGAGCCTGCTCGTTTCTTTCTTGTGCGATAGATCCTTTTCCATGATGTGTAGCATTCACGTTGTCATTAGCTAAGATGATGGAGGCATAGGAATAGCCCACGACCAAATTGACTGTCCTGGTGTGTCATACGCCCTATTCAGCCCCTTTGAGTCGTGTAATTTCCTTTCTTTCGGTCTACAATGGAAAATCACCCTTTTGCATCTCTTAGAAGGTTCCACAGAGTGGTTTTTGCTTGTTCTCTGCTGTTTCTGCTAAAAATAATGTGAGGGTTGGAGGTAATGCTTAAAAGTTGCGGCGTGTTTGAAAAATGTGCAGAGGTGGTGGTTCTCTAAAGAAATGAAGAAAAAAAGAAAAGAAGAAAAAAAGATGAATGAAAGCCAAAGAGAGCCACTACCAAAAATTTGAATCCTGCTAATTAATTAGTGTTTCTTAGCAGTCCGGCTTGGAAATACTAACATTATTGTGACCTCCTTCACTCTTGTGCTCTAAGGAATTTGAGTAATGTAGAATAGCAGAAAGAAAGTAAGTGATTTGATTGGCTGTGATTGTGTTGGGTTTGGAACTGTGGAACCTTGTGCTAGAATACTTCCACCACCTAAAAGGCTTTTTCCCCATGTCCAAGATCCTAGCCAGTCACTTGAACCTGTATCTAAGACCTTCGGATTAGTTAGTGGTGACATCCCTTGTGTGAACTCTAACATTTAGAGAGGCTGCCATCATGGTGAAGAGACATTAGGATTTGACAGAATAAGCATGCACATTTTTCGCATCGAATTGTCCTAACCCCACTGGTCGAGAGTGAGCGATTCATTTGCTTGTTCTTTATGCTCTTTACCCCGGTGAGTACCTAGATGGCTCGATCTTCATTATGATGTCTTGAGTTTGATGCATGCGATGACTGTCTTGGTTAAGTGTTTGAGTCGAGTCTATGTTGGTTGGTGAACAGAAAGGATTGCTCTTCCTTTACCCGATTTTGTTGCACACGAATGTCCTCTGTGGTGGTTGTGTAGGTTGCTGTCCATATGTCAATGATCAAAAGCCAGTATGATTCGCGTGTTCTGTGCCTATATGATATGTCCCCAAAGTTGGTATGATTGAAAGGTGTTGAGCTTACCTTGTATCTGACTTGGTTTGCTTGGGGACAAGCAAACGGTTAAGTGTGGGGGAATTTGATGACTTGATATATACACATGTTTTTGTCCACCATTCTTATACCGTTTGAGCCTCATTTTTCGTATCTTAGGCCAATTTCACGCTAGGTTGTTCTTGTTTGTGATATTTCAGGTCCTAGTATGTGAATGGAGGTTTGGAAACGAGTTCGGGGTCGATAAGACGAAGATTGGACGTTTGACGAAAAGCCGAGGAAACCAAACGGCCAGACCTAACAGCCACACGGCCGTGTGGCGTGGCCGTGTGGAATTTTTTTGCACGGGCAAACCACACTGGCCGCGTACTGGGTCCCTTTGTGTGAAAATCACAAAGATGTTGCACGGGCAGGCCGAGATTTCACACGGCTGTGCAGTTCTGGCCATGTGACGTGCATGAAACCACTTAAGTGAAACCTGACGTTTTACACCTCTACCCGGGCAGCTGGGATTTCCACACGGCCATGTGGTCGGGAAATTCTAGGTTTTAACCCAATTTCGGGTCTTTTGGAGAGGAATCGAGTTTTTTAGCAAAAAACAGAGCTTTAGAGAGAGAAAGTGCGAAGAACAAACCCTAGGATTTATTTGGAGTGGATTTCTCACCATTGAAGCCCATATTGCATCCCAAGGAGTGAAGATCGACATCCCTGAGCAAATTATCCCCATCTTTATGAGTATGACTGCTTTGATTTAGGTTTTCCTCTCTCTCTCTCTCTATGGAGTAGAACCTTCTCTCACTTGGGTATGAAGAACCCTAGTTCCATGTGTTAGGAATCTTGATTGTAATGGCTTGGGATTGATATACTGATTGATTTTAATCGATTGTTGCATGATTCATTGAGTCAATTGAAGCTTGATCATCTTTTCTTGATTTCTGCTGCAACCTGAGATAGATAGAATCTGATTAGGTTGTTAGAGCTTCATTAATCGGTAGTAGTAGGTTTGTTATACGAGAGTTAATTGATTTACTGCTTTGTACTGGAATCCAATTCTAGTAGTGGAGTTCTGTGTTTATTGCCTCAGCAGTCTATCCCGGTGAAGGCTTGTCGCCTTCCGGTTAGTCTGCCTGAGAGGGCTTGGTCAGCTTAAGAGATTCCAAGCTACTATCGGATCTTCCGCAGTTTAATCAACAGTTAATCAACCAAGGGTAATTACAACCTTGACATAACTAAGGAGCTAGGGGGACTCATTCTCGAGTGACTCTTGCCTTGCTAAAGAACTTCGAAGCATTTCCTGCTTTCTTACTGCTTTTGCTTAGAATCACAATGACTCTACTTAGTTTGCAAGATAAAAGTCTCAATACTCCGTCCTCTCTAAGGGATATGTGACCAATAGTTATTAGCACACTAGTTATATCTGATTCCTTCTTTAAGTGATTCTTTATCATGTCAACCGAAATCGGAGCAAACTCGAGCAACTCTAAGTAATATTTATAAATACAGCTTATTCATAAAGTCGAGATCATAAGCAGGGTTAGCTATGGTCTTGTCACATGACACACCTATTTTTTTAAAAATTTAACAACTCCAAATGTACAATAAGGATTAACCCCAACACCTCATTACCAGGTGAATCACTTCATCCATACACAAAGCAAGGTTGGCGAGAAGGGGGAAGCAGATTTTGGATGAGGCGGGACATCAAAGCCTAAAGCAAGAGAAGAGCAGTGAGGGACGGGACATAAGAAAACAAAACATGAAATTAAGAAAGAGTAAGTTTGAGCAAAAAGTGTACCCACGTTTTATATTTTAAAGATATACATGTTCTCGTTACATTACAACTCAATTATCATGATTCTATTCCATAAAATGTATTTTTAACATCATAAGCAAATCCACAATTATATTAATAAATGTATTTTATATTTCTTTTGAAATGTAGACGATGAAAGAGACTTAAGTAAGATTTTAGATAACAAATACATTTTTCACGTATTTAAGAATACGAACAATGCATTGTAATTGTTTATGAAAATGACAATTATATTAATCAAATATTTCTTCTCTATGAAATAATTATTTGTGTTAATTGTGTATTTGTAAAATTATTTTCTGAATCATGACACCCCTATTCGGTGGCGGAGTCACCTTGTAGTCCCTGACCCCATCTTGACTCTAGATAAAGACAAAAAAAAACAATAATTGTACACAATTCATAATATTCAAGTTTAGTACTTCATGTTCACAATTTTACTTATCTACCAATAACCTTTAGAGAGTTTTGTGGCACATATTAATCTTGTATTTCTATTACAACTCTAGATTTCACATAAAAATTTGTCTCAAATTGTTTATTTGTGGACAAATTGTAAAAAATAGTTGTGAGTCATTTCAATATCAATAAAATTCATTTTAAATACATTTATTATTTAAGTCCGACCCACTTTGAGTAACATTATGGCTATACCACTTCCCTAGTTCCAACTCCTAACTCTGCCAATAGTCGAGATCACTTTGAACAAACTTATCTTTCGTGGTCCATCATATCTCTAAATTGCTTTAAAATAATTTTTTAAGGCGACAACGTTCTTATAGATCTTCTATCAATAGTAATTGAAGTCAATTGTTCAATAGTTGCCACTGCAATGCATTTGGCAAAAGTGATTCTTCTGTTGTTTTTGTTGAGTACATTTTATCGGATACTTCAGTCTGCATAACTGTAAGACATCTTGGCATCAAGAACTCTTTTTACAAATGAAGTAAGGCTCCAATAACATGTTTCTCCTCAACAAGAGAGGGAGGAGCCTTTAGTATGATGATAAAAAGTAGACAATTTTGTTTTCAATCTAGATGAATCTATCAGTTATGCTCCAATCATATCTAACAATCAGTTGTAATTGATAAGCATCACTCGCTCTCTTCATCTGATACTGCATATAGATTATATAGCATAAATATGGAGAGGAGTATGTCGATTCGAAGTGTCACATATGGCTTGCATGCGATCAACTTATCATGATCATATTTATTGGGACTAAAGGTGAATGGATGGTGTGGGGATGCAAAAAGTATGGTTAGTTGGAAGAGGAAAGCTCCTCTCGAATGAGGCGAGACAACAAAGTGAGAAGCAATAAAAGATGGGACGTAGTGAAAAAGAAAATTATGTGAAAGGGATTCATGACATATCGAAATAGTCCTTGCGAATTGTCAATTTACTGGTATTTTGGATAATAATTGCACACAAACTTGGTACAAATAAGCAATACATCCCATACAAAAAATGTCCACAGCCAAAATACTAAGTGAATCAACAAAAATATATTTAAGCTTTCATTACCAAGAAGTCCCAAACCAAGGTAAAATGATGAGTATTTAAGTGGATTCAAAAAAACTACTGAAATTATAGAATTTCCCTCAAAAGCAAATTAATATACAAACTTTCGATTGATCAGCTACAATGTTACACAAAATAAATTGGTCACATGACTTGCAGTGACAATATGTTAATATTGAATTTGTCTCCTGAGTCCTGATGGCTAGATAAAAATAAAGATAAGAAAATAGATATGGTAGAATCATGGGCTTCAATCACATAAAAATAAAGATAGGAAAAAAAATATTATGTTGTTGGATTTTGTTGGGCTCTCAGCGGGTGTATGAACCGCTGGATCATTCGCTGGCAAAAGCAAATTACATAAAAGCCCGGCAGCGGTTACCTTAACCCCTGAAAGAAAACCCCTGGGCTTGGCCCATTTCCTTGTAGTGTACACTATCAAATATCGAAGCATCAAACCACCTTTTAACTGGAAGAGTAATAAAAAGATTTCATATTGTTGGTCATCAAAGGCCTGGCTTCATCATTTTGCAACCAACAAAAGCTATATTGCAAACCCTTATTTTAGCCACGCAATGGTGCAGAAACAAAGCTTGTTTTTGCTCTCGACTAGGGGTGGGCATCAGTCTAGTCTGGACCAGATCGACCAAACTTAGAAGAACCGCGGTCCAGTAATGAAAGATATTTTAGGACCAAACACCGGACCAATAGTGCATTTGGCCGCTTTGGTCCACTTTGTTCTGGTCCAAATGTTAATTCGTATCCATTACTTTTAAGTATTTATAAAATTCATAAGACCAAGTACCAGACCATATTATATTCGATTCGGTCCAAACATCAGTTTGATCCGGTATGGACCAATCCATTGCCCACCCCTACTATCGACAGTAATAATATGATAAGTAAATAAAAAGGAGATAATATAACCAAAAGAACTTCATTTCCTTATCCATACACAAACGTTGCGGTCAAATTTAAAATAAGGAAAACACACAATTAACTTCGGCAAAAGAAGAATACCAGGTAGAAACTTAAGTGAGAACCTACTGCAACAGTAAGGTTTGAAGACAACACTAAAAGATGAACACAACAAGGGGAAAAGGAGATGAGTACATAGGTATTGAGCATATCAATACCTTCTTCCAACAACTGAGTTATTGCAATCAATTAGTTTTTGACATGGTATCAGAATCTTTTATGACCGAAAGGTCTTGTGTTCAAAATGCAAAATGTACATTCTAGTAACTAAGTTGTGATTTAATTAAATTTGGAAAAAATAAGTTTTTATGCAAAATGTACATTCAACTTTATATATATTGATATTTCTTCTATTTCTAAGTGTGCCTACTGATGGCATCTGCCATGCGATTGGTGGTGCCAGTGCACTGACAATAGCCATTTCGATCCATATTGTCACAGGTGAGTTGAATCAATTAGTTCAGGCAATGCAGAGTGTCTTCTTTTTGAATTTGCAAGGGATCAGATGGTTGCAGTATAATTATATATATGTTGTTATATATGTGCATTCCAATCATCCATTGTTAGAAACATAATTATTTGTTATTTCTTCGGTTTCTGATTATTTATCATTTTTTGCGAATTAGTACTATTTGGGGAATTTGGGAATAAGCCGGGGTTATTTGATAAATCGAATTAGTGAGGTAGTAGAAAGTAATTAGAGGGAATATATATTTTGTAATACATAGGTTTGAGAAGGCAGGCAATTACAGAAATACAATTCTTAAACCTATCTCTCTCTCTCTTCTCCCTGGGTCCACTCTTCCCTTTCCATGAGGCGGCAGCCGCCGACCCCTTCCCTCTCCTTCTTCCCTAAATTCACCCAATTCCCAATCCCTAGATTGATCAATCCCTAGTTGATCAGTCTAATTTCCCAATCCTAAATCGTTGGAACTCTTTGTTTCTAAGATCTGGTATCAGAGCCCGGTTCGAGCACGAGTTCTTCAAAACTCTTGAACCAGGGCAAATCGCAAGACAGTGATGGTGAACACGAAATCAATAACGGCGACAGAGAAGGCGGCGCAGGACAAGGTGGCTCAAGCCAAGACCGCCGGAACAGCTGCAGATGGAGCCATGGAGGATTTCACAGAGACCGAAGAACTGAGGAAGATGATGGATAAGCAGACAAGGAGACAGACACGGGTTGAGGAAGGACTGAAAGGGATGCAGGTGAAGTCAAAAGACCATGCCTGAACCCTCGATGCGCTGTTGGCGGCGGTCGAAGCACTGCAGGGGCAGGTTTGTAGCCTGGCGGCTACGTCGGAGGCGACTCGGGAAATGATGGAGACCCTGATGGACAGCTGGAAGGCGAGCGGCGGTGACGGGAAGCAATAGGAGGAGGGCGCAGCTCCAGGGTAGAAGACCGCCTCGGCAACGGCGGAGGGCGCCTCGTAATCGGCAGAGGGCGCCTCGGCGACGGCGACGGCGGCGGGTGGCAAGGAGGCCGAGTCATTTTCGGCAAGGGAACCGGCGGAGGGGACGGGGGAGAAGTAGGCCGCGATAGCTGCCAACCCTAGCCGGCAGGTTCCTTCGCTTGTGGGCCACGTCACCTTTGGCCCAGCTGGCCAGGGCGGCCTGCTACCAACCCCGACGACCCAAGAAATTGCCGCGATAAAGGGGAAGGCCAAAATGCTCGAGTATGTGGACCTGCAAGCGGGCCTGGACTTGGATGAGCTGGTGGACCAGGAGTAGGACTATGACTACGAGTAGTGGACAAACGGGCTCGGTTGGCTAGGATCGGACCCCCAGGAAGACGAGCTCAGTTTGGTGGGTTGATCCAAGGTGGACGGCTGGCCAGGGGGGAGTCGAAGCGAGTTGGGCCGTGCGGGGGAGGTGGGGCGATCGATTGTCCTGGGTCAAGGACAACCCGGTCGGATCGAGTTCGAGCAGGCCGGAGCGGGACGGACCGAGTTTGAGCAGGCCGGAGCGGGTCGGACCGGTAGCAAGCGGACCGAACTGGGGCGAACCATGGTATACCGGGCTATCCGTTCGGGCGGCAGACCCACATCGGCCACAGGGGGGCAGCAGCACCATTGGGGCAGTTCGGGGATTACAACGCTCCCTACCTTCCATCTAGCCATCCTCGAAATTCGAGGAGGATCGCGGCCGGGTCGTGGAACGCCGAACAGCAGCGGGAGAGAGGGGGAATGAACCGGAGAGCGGGCTACCGCAAGGAGGAAGAAGACCACTAGGGACGAGAAGGGGACCAGCGGTTCTCGCAGAGATATTTCGGCGGGGCCCCGGGTTATGGGAGGTATGCCGGTTATCCCCGTGGTTTTGATGTTGAGGATGATTTTTGTTTAGGGCTAAACCTCCAACCATTGAGTTCCAAAAATTCAATGGTCGTGAGGATGCTGGTCTTTGGTTGTACTTAGCTAAACAGTGGTTTAACAACCACCCTACTAGGGAAGAGCGGAAGGCACAGTTAGCCTCCTTTTACTTGGAGGGTGATGCCCTGCAGTGGTGGGAGTGGATGGAGAGATCATATACGAAAGCCCAGACGCTAATCACTTGGCCAATGTTTAAGGAGGAGCTGTGGTATCAGTTTGGGAAATCGGAAGGATGGGCTCCGGAGAAGTTGGCCAAGCTGCGACAGACAGGGACGGTAGCAGAGTATAGGGTTGAGTTCTTCAAACTGGGTAATCAATGCAAGGGCATCCCAGAAGGGACGTTGGTAGGCCTATCCATGGCGGGACTCCGCCCAGAGATTGCGGCAGTAGTTCAGGTGTTTGAACCCGATTCACTGCGAACTGCTTTTCGTCTTGCAGGTAACAAGGAGGAGGAATTGGCGAGCTGGCGGGGAGTGAGAGGCCGATATCAGAAGCCTAGTGGAGGTGGCAGTGGGCTGAGTGGTAGACCAGTGGTCTCGGCGGGGCCCGAGTACGAGAGTAGGCGCGACGACTGGGCCAGCCACAGTGGCTATCCGATCTGGGCCGAGGGCACCGCCCAAAGGATTTACTAGATTGTCCCCTGCAGAGATCAAGTAGAAGAAGCGAGAAGGGAAGTGCTTTAATTGTGACGAGAGGTTCACTTTAGGCCACAAGTGCGGGAAGCTTGATCTAATGTTCCTGGTGGGTCGCTGGGAAGATGAGGGCGAAGACGAAGCCGCCGATGATCACATGTTGGCTCAAGAATAGCTTCAACCTTCAGGACAAGGTTGTTCTCAAGGAGGCGGAGATTTTAGAAACATAATTATTTTTCATTTCTTCGGTTTCAGATTATTTATCATTGTTTTGCAAATTAGTACTATTTGGGGAATTTGGGAATAAGTTGGGGATTATTTGATAATCGAATTAGTGAGGTAGTAGAAAGTAATTAGAGGGAATATATATTCTGTAATACGTAGGTTTGAGAAGGCAGGCAATTACAGAAATACAATTCCTAAACCTATTTCTCTCTCTCTCTCTCTCTTCGCCCTGCGTCCTCTCTTTCCTTTCTAAGAGGCGGCAGCCGCCGACCCCTTCCCTCTCCTTCTTCCCTAAATTCACCCAATTCCCAATCCCTAGATTGATCAATCCCTAGTTGATCAGTCTAAATTCCGAATTCTAAACCGTTGGAACTCTTTGTTTCTAACATTCAAGCATGCTATATATGTCTTTCTTGCACAATACGTTTGATTGGAAATATACTGTTGTTTCCATGTTTATGGTATAATAACATTGTTTGAGAAGAAGAAAGAACCAGCTTTGAGGGCAAAGCTTCTTGAATAGGGAGAGCCTGATACAACCCTAGTTTACTTCATTTCCGAGCCAGAATTCATTGTTGAACAAGCTAACACAACCATTGTGCACAAGCAGGAATTTTGGCTAAGGCATTTGATGAATTCGACTAGGGTACTTTGGAAGCTTGGTAACGCCGATTGGGATGGTCGAAATGGAAGGTTAGGGTATGGATTTGAACTTGGTATTCTCCTCTACAAGCTAGAGTGGCTGGCAGCTCGAAGGGAAGCCTGGGAGTACATTTTCAAGGCTCGATAAGATGGTATCTCAACACTGGGAAAATTGCAGGAATTGCCTAAGTGTCAAACGGTGAGCAACATAGCTACTTTGAAGCTTCACTCCAGAAAATGGTACCGATTCGAGGGAGGAGCTTCATGCCACATGAAACTACGTATTTAACTCTACAGAGGAGAGGAATTGGGTGAGCAGTGGCGTACTTGGAAGTCGTCATTCCAGAGACTCAAAGTTGGTGTCGATAGCTGTTTGTTGACGTGGAGCTTATGGCAGGATTGTTCACTGTTTCCTTGTTTGAGTTGAAGTTTTATTCCTTTCCTGTTTAAGCCGTGTTTTTCGAGTTCCAGTAGGATAAGGAAGTTGTTTGTCGAGTTATACTAGCTAGCTATATAAGTAATCGTTGTTTGCGTTGTAAGGATTCAGTTTTGAAGTTTAATAACGAACCCTAGTCATGGAGTTTCAGCTCTTTGATTGTCCTTGTTGCATGGAATCAAATCCATCAACGAGCGAGCTCAGCATCGATTGATTCATAACATCAATCGTGGACGATTTGCTACCTATTTGGATCGAGCCTCTTCCCCAATTGGTGTTGAAGTTTCTTCTTCCAACTCTATCTTCCCCTGTTCTTCTTTTTCAATTCTACAAGTTCGAAGGGTTGAGGTTTTGGCACCTGATTCCTTAGCCTCGAGAGTTGAGGCTTGTCGGTGAAGCTATTGGTCGGAATTGCTTATGGTATATGTAGACATATACCATTGGAATTTTTTTTGGCATGAGCTTAATTGAGATGTTTTATTGAACTTAAAGTCTGAATTACTTGTAGTATACTTATGAAGTGTATACCATTGGTAAGTAATTATACCATTGACTTAGAATATTCATTTGAATTGCTTGTGGTATGTCAAGTTACCTTGATGAAGTCATTGGTAAGTAATTAGATGGTATTTCCAATACAATATGGAAATGCAACTGAATTACTTGTGGCATCTCAAGTAACATTGACCAATTCATTTGTTAAGTAACTAGATGATATTTCTAATAATATCTGAATTGTTTGTGTTGTGATAATTTAATTAGTCGATACCATTAATAGACAATTAGATCAATGTAGTGATTGTGAAAGTTCAATAAGTAAAACCATGGAAAATTAAATGAAATTATTCCATGATAGTTCGGCAAGTGGTAAAATTGAGGGGGAGATGCTTTTTTATGCTAGTTGGATAACAAGTGCTAGTGATAATAAATCTACAATGGGTGGATTTTTACATTATGCGGTGGATTTGTGTCTTTGACAGAACTACGGATCTAGGTGCATGATTTAGGGTTACGAACGAATTAGGGATTGGGAATTTAGGTGAGATAGAATTGGGAATTTGGCGAGAAAGAAGCAGAAGTCGATTTCCCGTGGAGGGAGGCGCCGACGGCAAGGAAAGGGGAGGGAGAGGAATCGGCTAGGGTGAGAGAGAGATAGGGTTTGGTAATAATTATCTTATTATTTCTTGCCTCTATCCTCCTCATAAGACGATATATATATATATATATATATATATATATATATATATATATATATATATCCCGTTTCCTACTCGAATAATTAGCCTAACCGAATAACCTCTCACAATTTCCGCCCTGACATAAAATATCCGAATAATAAGTAAATAACAAATAACCATCAAATAAATGTGTTTCTGACAGTCTTGGGCTTCAAAGAAACAAACATGTATTACAAACTCCACAACGCATGATCTATGGGACATCCCAAGGGATGAGATTGAAACCTTTTGTGTAGTTATAAGTAATGGGAACCCAACCTTTTCTTTAGTTATTCACTAATTAAAAGGTTCAATGTGGTAGTAACAAGTTACTCTAACAAAGGTACTAATATATCGTACAAGTAAATTAATAAGTTCAAAGAATGGTGAGTTATAGAACTCTTAATGAATTCATTTGGAATGTCAACTATGTGAACATTAAGAGTGGTGCTGCTCTAACAAAAGTAGAGGTCAACTTTTGTGTATTTTCATGAAACAGGACCAGCACATGGCCCATAATAGTGCTACCCTTGTTGGTGTTTGTGTTTTAGAGAAGAGACAAGTACGTGTGTGTCATCTCCGGTTATAGCTTTGGATCGTGACTCCTAGGTTGTAGCCCGTTAGTGATTCGCTATCAACTTTGAGTTGCTTACATTAGGTAAAGGTTCAAATAGAGAAGATACCTTTATGTATGTGTTACTTGTTCGAGGCAGGTATTCTCAACTCTTGTTGACTAATTGAGGGATTGTTAGAGTTAGCCAATAGAGTTGTAATACCACATTGATATGGGAAAAGGAAAGTATAAGAATTGAGTCTTTTGGCAATTTAAAATTAGTTAATTAATTTTTATATTAATTAATTAACGTTTGAATATTGCGAAAAGAAGTGTCATTCCAGAAAGATAACTTCTCTTTTTCTACAAAAGGATGTGTCCTTTTGGGAAAGGTAACTACATTTTTCTGTGAAAGGATGTGTCTTTTCGGAATGCAATTTACAGTTTTCACAAGTATACATAGATGACTGCCATAACTATTTTCAATACGAGAGATTACTTCTTCTTCCCGTTTTCCTTCTCTATTTTTTTCGTTGAATCGGTTACTTTCATTCCACGAAACTATATGCAGAGTACATATAGGAAACCAATACAATGAAAGGAAAGCTCAAAGTGAGCAGCCCTAAGAAACAAACACTCCCGGAAAGGACAAGAAAATCCCCTACAAAAACAGCACTACCCTGACATCAAACCCACCCAACTGCAAGTCACTACTCAGCACTCTGTTATCGCTACTAAGATACATCAGATCAGCAACAATCAAACGACCAATGTTTTGTGCATCGCGAGGAGCTCCTTTATGCAGCCTGGTACAACGCTCCCTCCATAGATATGCCACACTCGCACACCAAAACAGACCAACAAATCTTCCTGCTGGAGTCTTCTTGCAGAATTGTAGTGCATCATTTCCTCCCATGTCTGTTTGCAGAATTGTAGTGCATCACTCCAGCTAGACAGAACCTATTGTGAAAAGGAACACTGAAAAAACAAATGCTCCCGCGTTTCAGCCTGAGCAGAACAAAGCAAACATGATCCATCCACACTTTTCCCCCACTTGAGCAACTTATCTAAAGTAACAACCCCATTCTGCAGCACTAACCAAGCCAGAAAACTATTACTTGGCAGAGAAAACTTTCCCCAAAGCAGACTGACCAATTAACCCACGAGAACTTGGGACGCAAGGACCTTCACTATTTTCATAACCAAAGAAGCCTACAAGATTGTTGCTTCTAGAATTTGAATTGAAGGGACTCCTGTGGGTAGTTTGCTCGAGCCTACCAGCAATTTGTAGTGGGGGCAAATAATACTATAAGGAGAGTGATCTAATCAAGTTTTCAATCTATTCTTTCCTGCCAGTTCTTGACATGCATCTTCATCACTTCCTCTTCTCTAGCTTTTTGTGGTGGTGGTGGTTGTTGTCTTTGGTGAGTTCGTTTGATGGAATAGCATGAACGGTTGTAGAGAAAAAGTATCTACGTGTGGCTTCTTTGCGAATATAACGGGTATTTTGACAAGTGAACGGGGCATGCAAATTGCCAAATTGGTGTTTCTTCTTCTCTTCCTTTGGAGGGTGAATCTTCGACGGTTTCTAAGAGTATCCACATCAATAAAATTGCAAAACTAATTTTATATTATTTTAAATTTTTATTTCAAACTTTATGCAATCCAATTCATTTTTTTTATTTCATTGCTCCTACATCAATGCAATTCACTTGCAATTGCATATATAAGAGTTTAAATGACTTTATAATTATAAAATAAATAAATCAAGAGAGAGAGAAATATTTTTTTTATTTTTCCTATGTGGCTTGCATTTTAAATTTCATTTAATGCAAACTTGTATATTTGCAATTGCCCACTACATGCATTGGTGCAATCCCCTTTGCAATTGCATATTGAGTGTCATGTGGAATTTACAATTGAGCAAATACCATTGATGTGGATACTCTAATGGTACAAAGTTTGTTAGCGGTCGTTGTTTTCTTTATAGTGTCAATAACGTGGCTGGCGGCCGGATGCCCGATCCGGCCGTCGGAAGCGTAAACAAATACTTATGTACGCTTAATGCAAAATGCAGTTTCATGTGGCGACGAGGGGAATTGTGCATTTGGGAATGCAAATGATGAAATACCTGAAGCCGAAGTACGTTGACCGAATCCACGCTGGACAAATTCAAGTAAACATGCATATACAATATATGATTAGTAAAAGTCTTTATTTCCCTTTCGATGATTACTGGATTAAAATAA